GAATTTTTAACGATTTTTTTCGTAACTCCTATTTGACCCGAATAACTGTATGTTAATATAATCAGCGTCGAGTCATGTAGTTCAATAAATAACCAAAGAGCTCGTCAAAAGCGTTTATTTCTTCAAGTAAACAAGCGTAGGCCTATAAAACTACCTTAGCTAAAGCTGTACGATTGGCTGAAAGCATTTAGGTCTAAATCACACTGTTTACAGTCGCTTATTGTTCAGGTACTGCCCGATAGCCGGTGCCGCTGATTTGGCAGATTTGGTTTCAATTATATTTTATCAGGGATATGCCGCGATAAGTATAGCGAGTATATTTTCTCTCCCCCTCCCGTAATCATGTGTTCTCACATAAGTAGTGCATACGCTTTTTGTGAAAAACATAGGCCATTTGCAAGGTCGTACGATGCAAACATCGCATTGTTTTGACTTTTTAGTCGTATTTCCGGTTGGGTTAGCTCACGCGATTGTCTGAACCATACAAAAATATAGACTAGCCATACCTTTCGCCGAAAATAACTTCGGCCCCTTCAAAGATATCGTCTTTGTAATAGTCTTGGTCGAATCTCCATCAAAAACACTATTTAGGGTGTTATTTGCAAGCCTGTATCTTCAAATTTGCATCTTTCATCACGGTATTCGCGTTTAACTTTCAATTCAAACTCCCATAAATCGCTACAATGTTAATAATGACTAACTATCGTTCGGAATTAGTTGATCTTTTATTTCGGAATCGAACGGTGGTATTCTGTCTTCATAGCATTTACTGAACCGAAGATATGAAATTTCTAGCCGTCAACCTCTCGAGGACGACCTCGCGAAGAGTTTTAATTTAATTAATATTAAAGCTGGATTCTTTCACCGTGATGTCATGCCAAAAGGTGTCTTTCATATTTTTAAAGAAGATCCCAGCTCTATTGATTTGTGATTTGGTAATATTAATTACAGTTGTAAATTTGATTATTTTGTTAGTGCTCAATAAATTGTTCTGAAATTGTTCTGAGAAAACAGTCAAACTTCAGACCAAACTTCTACGCAGTTACTTATTTAGGGAGTGGTCATTATTTATGGGGAGGGGGGGGGGGAAATTGGGGAAAATAAGGATTGACAACTTTTTTGACCCCCCCCCCTCATAAAAGTAGAAACTTTTCGCCCCCAGAGTGGATTGAAAAATTAACAGCAATGAAACAGGTGTGCGTCGCAAGTAAAGTTAGATATTAGGACAATCTGTTAAATCTAGCTCATGATGTTTTACCCTGGTGAATATGATTCAACCATATAAATATGATTAAAAATATATAATATATATTTATTATGTGTTACTGCTTTGCAATGCAACATTTGTCGTACTATGACCCTAACCCATGACCAGTGTTCATACAGCGAAATGATTTGAGCACAGGGGTTTTTCAAGAACTTGTCTGGGGGGTGGGCATCTACAAAAAGGGACCATACTATATTGAGTGTGGAGAGATAACAGATGGTTGTTGGTGACAAAAAGTTTGGTGTGGTATCATATGTACTAGTTGGGGGGTCTTGGGGTATTCTCCCTCAGAAAATTTTTTGTATTTTTCCACCCCTAGAACTGAAATGTGAGTATTTTCTGAAACAGATTTTTGGATATACAGCGTTACATTGTGCGTCGATAGACCGAATCTGATCCGTTAAGTGTGCATGCATGGTATGTTTATGTAAATACCACAACTGGGTCACTCAGGGGGTAAAAAGCTTGTTAAACTTAGTGGGCCCGACTCCCACGATCGCGAGGCGCTATCATGGTTGAGTCTCTAGATCGTTGGAAATAGCATTTTCAGAGTCTATTTTTTTTGCTATTTGTGATTATAGAAATCAGAACTCTAGACATGGTATTTAAGTTCAAAAACTTTTATGACCCCCCCTTCTCTGTGTTAAAACTTTTTTGACCCCCCCTATTTATAAGGGTAAAACTTCGTTTCCCCCCCCCATTTCCCAACCCCCCTTCCCCATAAATAATGACCACTCCATTAGTAGTTTAACTGCCCATCACTTTTAAAACAGCAAGAAGATAAAGACAACGTGTACGGGTGAGTTATCCATCAAATAAATAGTTGGTTTACAAAATGAATTCCGTCTTTGTGGATAAAAATTAGTTATAAATAATCTCTCCTGTATGTGTTAAATATAAAATGCTACATGTAGCGATTCCGCCGGTATATTTCTTCTCTTTTGTATGGCTGTTTGTGATTACTGGTCTCTTGTCACTGGGTCATGTTGTGCCAGCAACTCTAATCCAGCCGTAGGGCCGTAGCGAGGGGGGTTATTCGTGGGGGGTGGAGGGGGTTAACCCCCCCCCCCAACTTTTGTAGAATCAAATATATTCGGAAAATCGGGTTGGCCATTCGGAAAATTACGGCAATAATAGTATAACAAAATTTTAGTTGTTTAAACAGAGATAATATTATAAAATGGTATTGTCCGTATAAACCATTGGTATAAACTGATTTACGAAATCACGGAATTTACATGGATAACGTAAAACAAATCGTAAATCGGTAAATGTTTTTCGGTTTATTACTTCTCAGGGCCGTAGCAGTCGGGGGGAAGGGGGGGGGGGGACTGGGGGCTGCAGCCCTTACAATAATTTGCTGATAATCATTCTTTTTTCAAAACCATGCACACCTTTATCATTTAAATAATACAGCTTTAAAATACTGACAATAGACTAGAGGTGTGCATCGAATCGGATTGGACGTTTCTAATCCGACAATTGCCTAATGTTTAAAATCCGATCTGTAATTGTCTAATCCGAATCCCATCCGAGTTTTGAAAAAGAATTCCAATCCGATCCGATCCGAAGAATTCTTTAATAAAATAAATTTCTCATTCAAGTTTAAATATTTAACCAAATAAAAATAAAAGCAAGAAATACATGTCAAGAAGCTGACAAATGACGTCCAATTGAAGTATCAAACGAATAATGCAGCGAAAACCGCGATGATACTTTGATAAATGTATGGATAATTAAATCTTGCGATAATGCATGGATAATTAATTCATTTTATTTCGGATATCGAAGTTATACGAAACAACGAAACAACTTTATCAATCCGATCCGAAATTTACATTTTGGGTCCGAAATCCGAACGAATCCGATCGGATTCGGATCGGATTTGCACACCTCTACAATAGACCTTAATTTCCCCATTTGTGTTAAATTTTTGATCTAGACAAACCTGGACAAAAATTTCACCACAGCTTGAAAGAACATCACAAAATTAGTAATATTCCGAAGTTTCGTTGAATAGTTGTAAAATGCGGATAATGACTGAAAAACGGCAAACTTCGCGAGGCTATATTATTCGCATTTTACAACATTTCGCAACAAGACTTCGGAATATTACTAATTTTGTGATACTCTTTCAAGCTGTGATGAAATTTTTGTTTAGGCTTGTCTAGATCAAAATTTCACTCATAAGGGGTAAGGTCTATTGATTAATTTTAAGCGGCTGCATTATCCATGACAAACCGCAAAGAATCATATTACCTATACTCTTTCCTGCATAGTTAATTAAATACGCCATCGCCCGTTTAGTTCTATTAAATTGTAAGCAAATTGTAAATTACTAAAGCTCTATTAACAACTCGAACCGACTTGACCACGTAGCTCAGTTGGCAGAACATTGGACTAGATTCCCAAAGGTCGCGGGTTCGACTCCCACCGTGGACAAGCAAACTTTTCCGCTTGCCTGCTGTGGATGCATACTCAGAGTAATGTCACAAATATCATACTAAAACTTCGTTTTCTGACCATCAGAATTCTGACAAGATGCGCCAACGCATTCTCAATTGTTATTGAACTGTTCGATTTCATCAGGATCTTGCCCTCTCTAGCGATGTACAATGGCTTTACATCACCGGACGTGACCATCCCCCACAAGTCTTGGTGCGACTGATGCTTCAATGGCATCATCAATAGATTTGTCACCCTGTTTGAAATTGAATATAAGCAAAATCAGATTTTATAGTAGATGGACATTGGACAACAGGTCTATCTCTTTGGGGGTGGCATGGGTACTGCTTCACTCAGACATCCCAGTTAAAAGGAGGTTGTACTAAAGTCAATAATGTATACAGTAAACATTCATATTCCCACTGGAGGTTCCCAACTTATGCAAAAGCCAGAACCAGCTAATTGGTTGCCAAAGCTAGCTATGCTACTGTTACAAGTTGGAAAAATGACAACATCGTATCCATACAGTAGGGCTTGATGGGCGGTAATTACATTGAGATGCCAAGGATGAAGCATTCAAAAGGGGAGAGTCTGCCTTAGATGCAGGGCATGAGTTTCTTCCAGTACAAGGGGCAGAATTACAGTCGGATACTGGGATTGAAGGATCAACCTGTAATATTGTAAAACTAGATTTAAATAACAAATCCTTTATAATAGCAGTGTTTTATACCTAATAAAAATTACCATAACCCATAAAAGGAGCAACCAGACATTTAATTTTAAACCTCTGCCTAATTCCAATAAATGACAAACTTTCATGATACCATGTATGATAAAAATTAGGGGCCAATTACATGGAGCATTTTCAACCCCAGGGTTAAACTCAGCCCTGTTTACCAGGTTGAAATTTCAGCCTTGTCTGTAATACAAAACTCTATCAAAATCAAACGCGCGATTACATGACAAAATTTTCAACCCAGGGCTGAGTTCAACCCCTGGGTTGAAATTTCAACCCTGCTAATTTCAACCATGCTTCAGCTAGCAGGGTTAAAATCTCAACCCCGAGGTTGTAATTGTTTCAACCCAGGGTTGAAATTATCATGAGTTATTCGAGCATGCATGGTAGTGACTATTTATTACAAGAAAACAAAATGAAGGCTTTTTTTACCTCTGGGAATTGATGCCGAGAACGTATAGTATAGCATGCTTGTGTCATGTTACTCTGAGTGTATATCTACATCAGGCAGGCTTGAAAAATATGCCTGGCCATGGTGGCCAGAACCGACCTGACCACGTAGCTCAGTTGGCAGAGCATAGCCATTGTGCTAGTATTCCAAAGGTCGTAGGTTCGATTCCCACCGTGGTCAGGCATATTTATCAAGCGTGCCCAGTGTGGATATACACTCAGAGTAACATCACACAAGCATCTTATTCACCTGAGTACATTACACCAACACAGCAAATATCATGATTATTAGATTACACTGATATCGAAGGAACTAGACTCAGTTCCGAAATACCGCATACTCGAACCGACCTGACCACGTAGCTCAGTTGGCAGAGCATTGGGCTAGTATTCTAAAGGTCGTAGGTTCGATTCCCACCGTGGCCAGGCATATTTTTCAAGCCTGCCCGGTGTGGATATACACTCAGAATAACATCACACAAGCATCTTATTCACCTGAGTACATTACACCAGTATAGTATAGCATTTCAATCCCGGGGTTCAAATCGTCCATGTAATCGCAAAAAAATTTCAACCTGGTTAACAGGGCTGAGTTCAACCTCGGGGTTGAAAGTTCTCCATGTAATCGGCCTCTTACAATTCCTTATTCTGGACTTGTAACCGGCCATGTTGGTCCCCATTTCAACAAGAGAATCTCATTTCTATAGAATCGTGGCCATGTTGGTCTCCAAATTCAATTATCTGCTAATTGCCAAAGGATTGCTTGCAAGTCAAGAATACATAATTAGATGCCTTTAATTGCAATTATAATTTACCTGATTTTTAAATCTTTGTATAGCAATCCTTAATTTGACAATCTGCCCTCCTTTTGAAACCAATTCTTTTAGCAAGACATCACTATAGTCTGCCATGAAGCAACTCGATTGTGCAGAGCTATTAAAATATTAAAAACAACCATTATTTGTCTATAAAATGTGACTGTTACACTGTTAATTTTGTAAAATAGCTGCCATTGCATGCAGTCCCCATACCTCACCTCGATTGGTATTTCGGTACAAATAAAACACTAGCAGGACTGTGACCAGACATCACAATCAGACTTGGATCCACATTTATATAAACAATAAACAGTGTACTATTGCAGAAATCCAGTGCAGTAGAAATCATATTTTCATCATTTTCAACATATTTCGGTGCTTCCAGGGAAATTTCATGGTATTTAAGGAAATTTCACAAGGAAAAGAGGGAATTTGAATGTGGAAGCAAATGTGATTTGAAAATTTAACGAACGCAAATCAGACTTTCATTCTCATAGCCATATATCATTGAAAATGTCATAAAATGATTTGTCCCCGAGCCGGCGGCGCGAAGCGCCGTGCGAGGGTACTAATTCCGCCCGGCTATTTACACCCGGGTGTTTGAAAACATAGCGAAGTGCAAAGTTGTCCTCCATTATGTGATGGACGGTCTTCGACGTTATTGCGCATGCACGTGTAATAGCTCGCACTAAAAAAATGTTTTTCATTTTGGAAAGATACTTGCTATTTTACAATATTTTTTGCGATGTATTTCGACATTTAACTGGAAACAAGCCTGCAGTTTCATGAATTAGTGGCTGTCAACTGTGAAACAAAGTGTGAAAGGCATGCATAGGCTGATAAACACGAATTTTGTCGAAGACGAGCCAGATGGTTTTAATATAAAATTTAATTGTTGTCTTGACTCTTGGCTATCTTGTCATCTTGGGTAAGTGTTATAAAACTTATGAACATTTCAGTATTAAAATTTCATACCGTACTTGCATGCTTTGTGTTTTCGATTTTATTCACATATCGGCGAAATTTTTATGCCATTCAACTCAATATTTAATATATTTTTATGTATGAATGTAGTACGTGATTTTAAATATTGTTTATTTGGGGCAATTAATACAGCTTATCGTGTTTTTATGCGTGTTTATAATGGTCTTTTACCTGTAGCAAATATGGCTTCACCAAAATATAACTCAAAAACCAGCTTTTGCTTATATAAAGCAAGTATATTTCACCGTATTTTCGAGCAAACTACTGACTATAATGCCAACAAAGCGAGTGTTTCAGCTTCCCTTGCGGTTCCACGCAATGTTTCGAAACGCTTTACCGTTACATTTTACATTAACTTTTAGCCGATTGAAAGCCACATAACATATTCCTTTTAATAACAAATTATGAAAATCAACGATTCTTTTGGTAAAAAATTATATCCTACTGTTTTCTCATATTATTTTCATGTTACCATAGCGACTATTATTATTTTAAACATGGAGTACTTGATGTTGAATAGAATTTCTATACTTCATCTGTTAAAAAAGGCGAGGGGTTGCTGCATGCATGTATTTCTAGTTATACTTTAAGTTTAACATGTTGTTATAGCTATGTCAGTATGTGAATATGTGATCGATACCCCGTCTTCTGTTAGCTTGTCTAGAACATATTAGCCGACTCCTGCCGGCACTCAATATAAAACACTCCGCTCAGATAATTCTAGGCTCATTGATGTTGCTTAAAACGAATAAAATGTCTTTGGATTAAGAAGAATATTAAGGAAATCATATATTTTCGGCATGCCATAGTTATATTAATACAACCCTAAATCACTAAATTATTTTTTATTATGGCATATTTTATAGACGGGCACCGCCGCACCGATCCTTCCCATAAAAACAAAATAAACTTCACAGTACCTCTAAATCTGAATCCATTTCTTCTCTGTATACTGTTTCTTGAATATATTTGACAAAACGGAGAGAATGAAGCTCAAATTTAATGTTTTAAAACGGCTAAACGCATTAAGCACATATTTCCAGCCTTGCTTTGGTGAACACGAGGGAGAAAAGATTGAATATGGCGCGCGCGATGCGTATTGGGTTCGTATTGTCACGTGATGTTAAAAGAGGCGCATGATTGGATGACCAATCAAAGGCTAAAATAAATCAAGTTTGCAGGAATAGCAAATTCATAAGTGTAAAAGATACGATCTGGATTTAAGTTAATCATCTGCAAATGCATAGATTGCCCTGGTTCCAGAGGCTCTTTGCGAGGCGAAAGAAACGATAGGCGAGAAGGAAGAGCCTCTGGTCACATCGGTTACAAATCCCACTTCCACACTTGATTAGGTTCAGAATTTGAATCTCGCATGTAATTCGCCATTTTGTAAAAAAATATGTCAAACCGATATGAGAAATAAATGAGCTTACAGTAATGTTTATTTCCAAATTTTCTCATTTTACTCCTTTATGAGAGTTGAATTGACTCCCAGAAATGCATTACTTACTCCAGGATGTTTACTCCTTTTTTGGAGTGAAAATAAAGGAGTAAAAATACAATAATTACTCCGATATGTCTATTCCTTTTAAAGAGTAAATTTTACTCCTTTATGAGAGTTGAATTGACTCCCAGAAATGCACTACTTACTCCGGTATGTTTACTCCTTTTTTGGAGTGAAAATAAAGGAGTAAAAATACAATAATTACTCCGATATGTCTATTCCTTTTAAAGAGTAAATTCTACTCCTTTATGAGAGTTGGATTGACTCCTAGAGCAGTAAGATTGGAGTTAAAGTTACTCCTGGAATAAAAATAAAGGAGTAAAAAGTATTCGAATATTTGTACTCCTTTGCTGGAGTATATTTTATCCCTGCAATGGAGTAATATTTACTCTTAGTAGAGTAAAAGTTTTAATGTGAACTGAAGTGGAGTAGTTTGAACTCTGGTTTTGGAGTGAAATATACTCTAATTTTTTTACTCCCCAAAAGGGAGTTATTTCAACTCTTACGGTGGAGTTAAAATTACTCCCTAGAATTAACAGTGCATGCTTCTGTAATATTTCTTTGCGTAAACTTTATGTATTTTTGTTTGTAAATTGCATCTTCATTTTCCAGATGGCAAACACCTTCGTGGCTTCGTATGCCATGAAATATTCGGAAATTTTCAACATGCTATCTACGGCCCTGTCCAGCCGATTCAGAATGCGTTCTTCTTAATAATTGATAAAAGAAATCAAGGGACACCTGAGGTCGCACGACGTTAGCTAGGATTCCAGTTTGAGAACAGAGTCTCGTCTTCCACCTGCACGAGCCGATTAGTTCATTATTTTCTATCTGACATATACTTTTGATCCAGCTTCAATTAAATTTATCCAACCATTTCTGGATGATACATTTACAACACAGGTAGTACTCAGCCCAAAGAAAAGTCAAGGAAGGCAGGCCAACTTTCCCAGAGGATGCCCCTGAATGGTGGAATTGTGCAACGTATTAAATATGAAGGAATTTTCTGAAAATTGAGGTCGAAAAAGGTCTGAAAAGTATTTTGCCCCCCCCCCCCTCCCCCTCATTATCGAATAATTAATTTATATAATTAGACTGAGTTCCTTATCAGCATTTTGAAACATCCCTGCTACAAATAGAGTATTACTGCCAAGACGTGCGAAGCGATATCTTGTTGGGGTGGATGGTGAACTTAAAAAATTGGGCCACCTTCCTTTCGGGGGCCCTCTCAAAATATTTTCTGGTAAGCTAAAATTTTATCCCCGAGCCGGCGGCGCGAAGCGCCGTGCGAGGGTACTAATTCCCCCCGGCTATTTACACCCGGGGAAACGAAAGCATTAGGGAAGTCTGAAGTTCATCAAATATCGCGGGCGTGGGTCACTGTGCGTGTTTCGGTGGGTGGTCATCCTCACTGATCTCAAAAATATGGCGGACTGTCATGAATAGCGAACACTGATTGGTCAAATTTAAAATTTGTTGTTGTACGACGAATGACGACTTCAACTGACAGATACTTCATGAAAATATTTTGCTTTTTGCACTGCAATATTTTGTACGTTTGCAAAAAACTTTGACAGCTTTCAAAGCAATTTGTTCTATAAAAAGTTTAATAAAACAATTACGGTATCAAATACCAATTGAAAATATATGGACTACTGTATGGAGCCAAATGAAGAGCGGCAAGGAAACGACAAGAAAGCCGAACGTCTAGCGAAAAGGAGGGAGCTAGCGAGACGACAACGTTTGCTCGAGGAGACTGCTGAGGAAAGAGAAGCTCGCCTGGGAAAGCGTAGAGAAGCATGGAAAAAAAGACTGCTGAAGCGAAAGGTAAGCAAAGGCTTGTCTTCACAACGCTATGTACCAATGATACTGTAG